ATCGGGCTTGATTTTGCGTGTTTATTTTTCTTTAAAATGACATTAAAATAAATCTTCATTTTGATTTAATGCTCAATATTCTCTGAAACGATGCTGAATTCTTCAGACGATCCTGATGCTGTATTTGGTGTGTTTCCTCAGTGAACGGTGAGCACGAGAGCCGGATACAGAAGGGAAACGGATATTTCCAGGTGCCGCCGCACACTCCGGTGATTTTCGGTGAAGCGGGAGGAAGGACGTTATTCAGGTGCGTGTCCTCTGTTTGATCAGCTCTGTAGACGCTGGTGTTCGCTGATGAAATGACGTCTGTGCTCAGGCTGCTGTGTCGAGACTCAGGTGGAGAAACTGAGTCCATGTTACTCAACGAGACGGTCCCGCAGTGGGTCATCGACATCACCGTGGACGTAAGTGTCCATAGCATCCTCTTCAAAGTGATTTACACTTGTGATTTCTGTCATATAAGAGCATTTCTTTCTTTCTCTTACAGAAAAACATGCCCAAATTCAACAAAATCCCGTTCTACCTCCAGCCCCATTCGTCCTCCGGAGCAAAAACATTAAAGAAGTATGTGTGACCTGTGATGTTTCCGTGTGAAGCTTCTTAGACAGAGACTGTAGGATGCAACAGTTGGATCTTGGTGTAAAAATCCCTTGATTTTCTCTATAGAGAGGTAGATTTATAACAATAATTTAAAGACGGACCTACAGGTTTATCTTGGTTTAAAGGCACAGTTCACCCAAAAATTAAAATTGTCATAATTTATTCCCCCTCAAGTTTTTTTTATTTTTTATTTTGAAGAATGTTGGGAACCAAACGGTTGATGGTAGCCATTGACTTCCATAGTAGTAGTAGTAGTAGTAAAAAAAAAAAAAACACACTATAGAAGTCAATGGGTACCAGCAACTGTTTGGTTTCCAACATTATTCAAAATAAGATCATTTTTAAAGATATATTTTGAAGAATGTTGGGAACCAAATGGTTGATGGTAGCCATTGACTTCCATAGTAAAAAAAAATAAATACTATAGAAGTCAATGGGTACCAGCAACTGTTTGGTTTCCAACATTATTCAAAATAAGATCATTTTTAAAGATATATTTTGAAGAATGTTGGGAACCAAATGGTTGATGGTAGCCATTGACTTCCATAGTAAAAAAAAATAAATACTATAGAAGTCAATGGGTACCAGCAACTGTTTGGTTTCCAACATTATTCAAAATAAGATCATTTTTAAAGATATATTTTGAAGAATGTTGGGAACCAAATGGTTGATGGTAGCCATTGACTTCCATAGTAAAAAAAAATAAATACTATAGAAGTCAATGGGTACCAGCAACTGTTTGGTTTCCAACATTATTCAAAATAAGATCATTTTTAAAGATATATTTGGAAGAATATTGAGAACCAAACATTTGACGGTAGCCAATGGCTTCCATAGTAAAAAAAAAAAATACTATAGAAGTCAATGGCTACCGGCCACTTGGTTCTTCACAACATCTTCAAAATATCTTATTTAGATATCTAAATATCTTATTTTTCTTATTATCTTATCCTTAGTAGGGAAAAAAATACTATGGAAGTCAATGGGTACCGTCAACTGTATGGTTTCCAACATTCTTCAAAATATGTTCTTTCATGTTCAACAGAAGATAGAAACTCATACAGGTTTGGAACACCTTAAAGATGACTAAATAATAAAATTTTTTTGGGGGTGAACTGTCCCTTTAAAACTCTTTATTGACGTTTTTATAAATAAACGGCACTGAAAAAGTGGGCGATTGGTTATTTTTATCATCCGTTCATGGCATCTGTTGCACAAACAGTAATTTCAACTCATCCCAGAACACACTTATTGGATGCCGTTGCACATCGACATGCATGGAAATGAACAGTCGTGTGTTTGTAGGGATCGTTTGTCGGCCAGTGACATGTTACAGGTGAGGAAGGTGATGGAGCACGTGTATGAAAAGATCATAAACCTGGACAGCGAGTCGCAGACGGGTGGTTCGGCCGCAGAGAAACCCAGCGAGCAGAAGGAGGAGGAGGACATGGCAGTGCTAGCGGAGGAGAAGATCGAGCTGCTCTGTCAAGACCAGGTATTTCATTAGACGAAGGCAATTGTGTTATTTCAGTCATTTTGTCATACTGTACCTGGTTTCATTTGTTTTTTAACATTAGTTTACTACATTAGAGCACTGACAATGGCCAGTTTATTATCTTTAATATTAAAAAAATTAGATTACAATAGAGTAGCATGTGCAAAATATCATAGTACTGTACTTCTACAATAAAATGTATAATGATTAAATTTACGAGGCTTTCATTAATTAAATATAAATACAAAAAAAGCTAAATCGGCTATGACACATTTTTTATGCATCATTTTGTAGATGTAGAATTAAAAAATATTATTGAATTTTATGCAAAAAATGTACATCGCTCCGACCCAAGCTGACACAAGTGATCTGTCTTTTAACAATTGCTTGTAAATCTCTTATTATGCTATAATATTGGATTCAATCTTTTTATCGAGTTGTTTTCTTTCAATTAGCATGGTTATTTATTTCTTTTTTTGGAACCGTTTGATCATAGGCCTCAGTGATTTGAGCTCATGCACCTCAGTTTTTCAGTGAAAAAAAAAACATTATTTGTGGGTATTTTTGGCTCAAAAACTGAGGTGCATGAGCTCAGATCAATGAAGCCTACGATCAAAGCCTATGATAATTTCTGAAGTGTAACAAGGTGTGAATAAAATCCCAAAAAGTACAAAAATTATCAAAAAATAATCTGAAAGTTGGCAATCCAGTGACATAACATTAACTAGCAATTCTGGAGGAAAAAAAAAAATAATAATAAAACAAAATAAAGAAAGAAAAAACTATGTGGGTCAAAATGACCTGAACACAACATGAGGGTTAAACACCTCGTGTCATAATTACGACTTCCCAAATATATAAAATATGACCTTCCCAGGATGACTCGAATGCACCATCAGATCTGTTTTCTTCCTGTATAAACTTAATCACACATGATGCGAATTTAAAGAAATGTCCTCTTTGTGACATTATTAGGGATGAAACGATTACCGGTTTGACGATACATCACGATAAAATTCCCCACGGTTAGTATTACCGTTTCATATTTTAATTATCATTAAAACCGTATTCGATTACCGCGATTTGAACAATTGAGGATAAATAAATACTGTCCAGCATAAAGCAGAGTTTTAAGAACCGTCTCACACAGTAGTTTCGTTTTGTGTGAAAACATGGAGGGAAGCTGGGAGGTTTTAAAGGGAATTATACAAATTAATTAATTATATGAATGTACCTCTGAAAGCTGACTGTCTTCAGAAAAGATTTGATGGCATTTTGTTTTTATCTTCGCTCCATGTAAAACCTAATAAAGTAGTGTTTTGATCGCAACGCTGGAGGTTATGAGAAACCGCTGTAATTCTGCTGCTCCAGAAGCGCCACCTGCTGTCAGAGAGTGGATTTACAGAGACTTACATCTACACTCAGCTTGTGTGCAGCTTCTGTCTGGACTAAAAACAGAGTTCATTTGCATGCATTTTGACCAGTTGATGAAAAACAAGCTCATGTGGATTCTACACATTTAAACAATTTGGATAAGTTATCTAGAATTATTTTTGGAGCAGATAAAATACATATAATCAGCTATCATTTTGACTTAACCCTTTTCTTTATTTAAAGGCTGAAATGTGAGGTTTACCATTTTATGAAACCCTTTCAAAGTTTTATTTGAACATTTTGTACATGCTATTATATAATCTGTTGTCAGTCATGTTGTCATTTAAAATCCGGACATCATTGGTGATGTTTTTGTTTTAGTGTTTATGCAAACTAAAAGCAATTTTATTTATTGTTTATTGATTTTAAATACAAAACTTGGTGAAATTATTTATGTTTCAGTACTTTTTGAACATCTCCAGCACATTTTAAAAGATAAGTTCACTTCCAGAATAAAAATTTCCTGATAATTTACCATGTCTTCCAAGATGTTCATGTCTTTCTTTCTTTCTTCAGTCGCAAAGAAATTACGTTTTTTGAGGAAAACATTCCAGGATTTTTCACCATATAGTGCACTTCAATAGTGGCAGAGCTAATGCTAGCCGAGCATTTGTGGTTAAAAAGTGTATAAATATTACGTTTTTCCAGAAAGTGACTGATAGTTTCACTAGATAAGGCCCTTATTCCTCGGCTGGGATCGTGTAGAGCTCTTTGAGGCTGCATTGAAACTGCATTTTTAACCTTCAATCCGTTGAGCACCACTGAAGTCCACTATATGCAGAAAAATCCTGGAATGTTTTCCTCAAAAAACTTCATTTCTTTGCGACTGAAGAAAGACAGACATGAACATCTTGGAAGACATGGGGGTGAGTAAATTGTCAGAAAATTTTTATTCTGGAAGAGAACTACTTCTTTAACAATACTGTGATATTACTGATAACCGTGATCATTTAGGTCACTATAATCGTAATAAGAAATTATGAAACTCTAGACATGATGTTGCATTGCTTTCCAAAGGTTCTGGATCCCAACATGGATCTGCGGACGGTGAAGCATTTCATCTGGAAGAGCGGCGGCGATCTGACGCTCCATTATCGGCAGAAATCCACGTGAGGTCCCGGCCCGTCTGAGGAAACTCCATTCATTACACTTCACATTCAAAGCACACACTCACCTGCACTTCCCGGTTCTGTCTGACGTCTACATCATCTTCCTCGCACGGGCCGCTCGGCTCACGCATGATTATCAAAGAGCAAACGCGAAGGAGGATCGCTGGAAAACACGCCGATGAATGGCAAAAAGACGTCACATAAAAGTGTTTTTTGTCACCTGTATGGTTTTTTTATTTTTTATTTTTCTTGGCATGAATTCTCTTTGGATGGATGCCATTTTGAACATGTCAGAGATGTTTTTTGTTTTTTACCGCTACTTTCTCCTCTTCTCATTTAACATTCCAGTGATGTGTTTGTTGCCAGTGCCGTCATCAAAGCCGAGGAACCGAGAATCTTTAAGGAGCGCCGCGTAGATGGACCGAATGTCTGAGAAAAATCCAAGAACGCCGTTTCCCGTGATGCATCTCTCTCTCACTAACGTGCTGTGATCTGTTATGTACATATATTGTAATTATTTTGTAGTCGACTTGAACTTGAGTTGGAGATTAGGAGGTTTTTATTTACGTTTCTTTTTAAGAAAATCTACGGTCTCTTCAAAAAGGTGCTTTTTCATGTAAAATACGATGACAGAAGAGTAGAGAGCAGAAATACTCTAAACATTATAAGCAGACATAGAAACAAATGGTTTATATTTCACCCAAAAATGAAAAATTGCTGGAATGTGTTCACGCTCAGGGCATCCGAGATTAGGATGAGTTTGTTTCTTCATCAGGTTTGGAGAAATGTAGCATTGCATCAGTGTCTCAGCAAGTGAATGGGTGCCGTCAGAATGAGAGTCCAAACAGCTGATAAAAACATCACAATAATCCACAGCACTCCAGTCCATCAGTTAACATCTGGAGAAGACAAAAGCTGAAACAAATCCAGCATTAAGACATTTTTAACTTCAAACCATTGCTTCAGGCTAAAATACGAGTTCATAATAACGCTTCCTCCAGTGAAAAAGCGTCTGGTCTGAATAAGGAGAGAAATCTGCGCAGATCAAGCAGCGTTTAAACAGCTCTAAACAAATATGTGGCTGTATTTTGATGTGAGAGACAACAGGAGATGCACTTTTTCACTGAAGGAAGCGTTGTTATGGATTATTGACTTGTATTTTAGCCAGAAGCGTTAGTTAACATCTTCTCCAGATGTTAACTGATGGACTGGAGTGCTGTGGATTATTGTGATGTTTTTATCAGCTGTTTAGACTCTCATTCTGACGGCACCCATTCACTGCAGACCATCCATTGCTGAGACACTGATGCAATGCTACATTTCTCCAAACCTGATGAAGAAACAAACTCACCTTGGATGGCCTGAGCGTGAGCACATTTTAGCAAATTGTAATTTTTGGGTGAACTATTGCTTTAAAAGCAATAATTCACCCAAAAATGGAAATTCTTTACATATGCTGAAAATTTAAATAACTATGCGGTTGTCGCATGGAAATATCTGCATGAAGATTCTTTCAAAAAAATAACAGCTGACTGGTTTCGAACAATATGAGGGTGAATAAATGACGATTTTCATTTTTAGATGAATTATTCCTTCATCCAGATGTTTGCTGCTGAGTGTTATCTTTCCGTCCTGTGCGTGGATGGGAAAATACACTAAAAATAAATAAATATATATGAAAGCTATGAACTATTGAATTTGACATCACTGGATGGCAAAATTCAGTTCATGTTTTTAATTTATGCAACAACAAAAAAACTGTTCAGCAAACGTTTGTCAATCATACAAAGATTTGCACAGTGTTCTAACGACATTATATTCATGTATATACTTAGTCTTAGGTTAAAGACAATTAAGATGATAATTATGATAATACAAAATCATCAGAAACAAAACGGAGAAAGGTTTTAAATCGTCCACACCCCCTGTATTTATGCTTCCCGTGTTGATTGTAATTCTATGCAGTATATTTTGGGTAAATAACAGCTTAATAAATTAACCAAGAACGATCGAGTTTAAATGCACACTTTTTCTTGAGAAGAACTGCAGGATCCGGGCAGGTGATGTTGACACAATCAGATCCTGTTTAACATCCTACTAGTGTTGGTAACCCGATGTTTACCTGCTTTTATTGGAGATTCGACTCTGGACCAGTTTTACAGGCTCATCTGGTTATTAAAGATAAATGACAACTGAAATAAACCGAAATGATTGTTATATGCATTATATCATTCTTTAATGCATTTATGAAACTGCATTTGAAAGCCTTCAGAGGAATCGTTCATCATGATAAAAGAAGAGCTCATTTAATAAACCCAGCAGGTCAGTACTTTTGAAGTTATACTCTGATATATTCAGCTAAATGAACCCAAACTATGACATGCATCCTCCATGGGTCAATTATCAGTCCATATATTATTATTAAATGTATGTCTCATTTTCAGAAGCAGTAAACAGTGTCTGCATTTGCACATGTCAATATTTCGGAGGTAAGCATGAGGTGCGTTTCTCTGTGTTGATCACACGTGACACTATTTTTTTATAATGTAGAATAAATAGGGTTCAATTATACTTACGGTTACTGTTTACTCTTGCAGCTTCTACGCCAACTATGCATATAATAAAACATGTTTTTAACTTTTTTTTTTAGCACTTGAGCAGTGTACAGTCTGGCCTTTGGGTTTATATGATGAATAATCAGGTTATCAAATATGATGCATCAAAAAAAAATATATATATATAGTGTATACAAAAAAATATATTAAAAAAAAATAATATTAAATATTAAAATTAATTAAAAAATTAATTAATATATTTTAAATGTAAATATATACTTACATATATATTTTTATTTATTTATCAAATAAGATAACCTGATTATTCATTATATTTGTAAAATAAACTACATTCAGAAACATTCAGTCAACAGCTTAGTGGACTAGTGTCCAAAACATTCATGAAAATGAGTTCCAGCTGCTTTCCTGAGATTACTGTAGTACAGTTATTAAAATCACCGCTGAAAATAATGAAAAAAAAAAAATTTCTATGGAAATGTGCTTGGACTGTGATGAAAATAATGCCACAATGCAAAAACTCTAAAGGAAAATGTTTCTTAAACAGGCTTAATTTCCAATACTGTATATATTTTTTCTTTGGTTTTGGGGTGAAGTATGACATTTACTGTGAGATGCATGGATGAAGATATAGTTTCTTAATATTCTTTAAAGCATGAGTGTGTATGTGTATCACTTAAAATAAAGCATATTTTCTGTGTAATCCTGCATGTCGGCGCTTTATAATAGCAGTAAATGGTTTCAGTGACGTGCTTTTAATGTGTTATTCTCAAGTAATCCAGCAGCTGTTAGCACGCTCACGAATCGATGCGTCTCTGAGGCACAAGTTACACTTATGAGACGGTTTTCGGTGTAAATGTTACAACCTCGTCATCCTTTGGTTCCATATTTAAGATCACAGGTGGCGTCTGAATGTCGTAGATCCCTGAATCGTCCTTCTGGACCGCTGTCGTGATCTCCACGCCGTCTTCAGACCGACCTTCATGAGGGAATAAAATGAGACGTGAGCGGAGGAGAGAAAATATGAAGATGAAGCTTTTTAAAGGTAATCTGATACTTACTTAAAGCAGACGCATTTTCACTGCTGCAGACGCCTCCATCATCATCATCATCAGCATCCGCTATTAAAGAGGAAGCAGATAAATCCAAACGTCCAGAAAGATCCACAGATGTCGTCTCAAACATGTCATTTACAGACATAATTGGAACAGATTTGGAGAAATGTAGCATTGCATCAGTGTCTCAGCAAGTGAATGGGTGCCGTCAGAATGAGAGTCTAAACAGCTGATAAAAACATCACAATAATCCACAGCACTCCAGTCCATCAGTTAACATCTGGAGAAGACAAAAGCTGAAACTAATCCATCATTAAGACGTTTTTAACTAATATATGAGTCCATAATCCATAATAACGCTTCCTCCAGTGAAAACGTCCATCTCAAGTTGTCCTCTCATATGAAAATCCAGCCACTTATTTGTTTAGATTTTGTTTTGGCTTGTAAACGCTGCTTGATCTGTGCAGATTTCTCTCCTGATTCAGACCAGAACACTTGATCACTGGAGGAAGCGTTATTATGGATTATGGACTCGTATTTTAGCCTGAAGCAATGGTTTGAAGTTGAAAACGTCTTAATGCTGGATGTGTTTCAGCTTTTGTCTTCTCCAGATGTTAACTGATGGACTGGAGTGCTGTGGATTATTGTGATGTTTTTATCAGCTGTTTAGACTCTCATTCTGACGGCACCCATTCACTTGCTGAGACACTGATGCAATGCTACATTTCTCCAAACCTGATGAAGAAACAAACTCATCCTGATGAGGATGGCCTGAGCGTGAGCACATTTCAGCAAATTTTTCATTTTTGGGTGAACTATTGCTTTAAAGATTATCACAATTCGCTTCCATATCTTCATATCTTTATGACTTGATGTGTCATATGTAATGATTATTTGACCCACCAGGAGATTTCTCACACGGTGCTGAAGCTTCAGTCGTGTCCTGAATGAATCCATCACGAGCGTCTGCCGTCACGTCACGGTCCGTCTCGTTTGAGGAGTTATCTAATAATAACTGGAATGAGACTCATAAAATTAAACTCTAAATATTCTGAACATTATGATGGTTAATCTAAATATAAACTCGTCCAGGCCACATTTCACCCCAAAATGGGTAAATATAAATGATGAAGCTCCTAAAACTAACTTATTCTTTATGTAAAATATCTTTTTTATTTTTTTAATAGTTTCTTTATTTCATAGTGAAATGTGACCTGGTTGTGTTCCTGTGAGATTGTTTTGTCTGTACCTCAGAACAGTGTGTGTCCTCTTGGGTTTCAGATGCTGCAGATGAGTTCTGGTGCTGATGCGACGCGAGCGAACGCATGGGAATACGATGCAGGTACCCAAACCCAACGCCACAACCCAGACTGACAACACACACAGACACACGAGAGTACAAATATATGCTGTTTACTAGAGATGCACCGATCGACCGGCCAGGGACCAGAATTAGCCGGTTTTCCGCATGATCGGCCCGTTTTGACGTCACACTTACGGCGACTGATAATGTATTATTTTATGTATTTATGTCGTGCATGAGGCTTGCGCAGCCTGAGTGAGTGTGTGAGAGAGACTCGTGCAGAAATCAAAACAAATGAGCGCAACAGCGCACACAGAAAGTTACAGATGCGGTAAAAAAAAAAAAATCGTAATATATGATTTAGGTACGCAGCATTGCACGACCAAGATGTTTAACAACACTGATTTTATACAATAGTAGTTCAATAAACAAGAAGTTAAAATTAAGTGACTTACGTTTTAGACACAATATTGACTGTTTTTGCTCAATTTCGCTGATGAAAATAGTTCCAATCAAAGCCACAGCAGAACTGCTGCGTGTCTCCGAGCAACACAGCGGTGTTTCGTTACTGAATGAATCCACACTTTTGAACAAATCGAGTGAGTCAATGATTCAGTAACCCATTCATAAAGACAGTAGTTACTCGCCTTTCTGAATGAATCAGCCGTTTGAATGAATCGGTTGAATGAATGACTTAATGACTCTCAGTCATTTGCCGCCACCTACTGGTGGTTTGGTTTCATATTTAAAAGTATCATTGCATTTAGATTGCTGTTAATTATAGTTCTTAGAAAGAAAATCGGAATCGGAAGGTTACACTTTTACACTGTTTACAATACAGAAGGGTTATTATAGTGAAGTAAAGCTACAAATAAAATAAATAATTAATATGTATTTCATTTATCACTTGCCAAGGCAACATTTCTCATTTACATTTGGTTTAAGTTGAAAAACTAAAATAACAGACTAAATAAATAAAAACTAATAAAATTATAAAAATTAATAAATACTATATAGACTTTTTCATGAGACAAAAACGCTTGATAAAATGACTAAAGCTTTCACTAAAATTTAAATTAATATAGAAATAGAAATATAAGAATATATAAATTATACTAAACACTGGTGAGATGCATTCAAAACTAAATTATCATTCACTAAAACACTTTCTCGATACTTGAAATAAAATAAATGTTACCTGAAAAAAAAACATAATAATAAAAATGAATAAATACTGTGTAGACACATTTTTTTAAATAAATATTGCTAAATATAAGAGGAAACTGAAAATACAAAAACATTTAAAACATGAATTAAATCTATAATAGTATCTCATGATGCTAAATAACACTGAAATACAGTCTAGCGTGATTATGATCTGATGTGCAAGTTTCAGAGTACAATGAAAAGCATCAGTAAACTGCATCTGAATGTGCTGACTGCTGATGTGTACCTTCCCTCTCCGCCCCAGGCTCCGTTAGGAGTGATGAGCACTTCCCTGCAGCGGTCGCTCTGTGTGTTATACACCAGCAGCTTCAGCGCTTTGCCCTCCGACGCCTCGATCAGCGAGAAGAAATCCTCCGACTGTGAGAGTCCACAGAGAGTGTGATCAGATCAGAGTAAACATCTGCTTCGAAGACTGATGAACAGATCTTACCTCCTGCAGCACCTGGTCTGCGCCAACAATGTAGTCAGAATACGGCTCGAGTCCAGCCAGTTCAGCAGGAGAACTCACTTCCACGTCCTGACAGAACACGCCAGTTACATAAGATACAAAAAAGAGAAAGAAAAGAAACAACAGACAGTGGGGTCCAAATGTCTTCATTTTAATTTAAAGAGAAAACAAGTGTATTTTTCTTCTTATGGTTTAAATCCATCTTTATTTACATTGTCATTCAGCAGACGCTTTTATCTAAAGTGACTTACAAATGAGGACAATAGAAGCAATCAAAATCAACAAGAGCAATGATATGCAAGTGCTATAACAAGTCTCGGTTAGCTTAACGCAGGACATGTAGCAGCAAGGTTTTTTAAAATTATATAATAAATAAAAAGAAAAACCGATAGAATAGGAAAAGAATAGAGCAAGCTAGTATTAGAGGCCTTTTTTGCTTTTGATAATTGTATAATAAATAAAAAGAAAACAAATAGATAGAATACAAAAAGATTAGAAAAGTAAAAAAAATAAATAAATAGAAATGTTGTCTTGGCAGCTATCTTTTAAGCTTAACGTTTAAGTTGAAGTAGGAGATGTGCTTTTAGCCGCTTCTTGAAGATTCTATTTATTTATTTATTTTTGAAAACAAGACTTATCTGAAGTCATTTTGCTTCTCAAGTAAATCAATCTTGATTTATACATTTTTAAAAATAATAATTTTTGCGGTGTTAATTCAGAGGGGTCCAAAAGTCTTGGAGAACATTAATTCACTTGAATCAGGAAATGCTAAGATATTAATATTTTAAACACAGAAATTAGTTAATAAGATTAACAAGAAATTCTTCAGCACTATTTTGTAGGTTATTGGTCATTTTAATATTTCATGTAGCTCCAGTGCTGCTGTCATTACATACTA